TTTAGAAATAATTAATTAAATAATTGTTAGTAATAAATAAGTAATAAATAAATAATAAATAATTCATTATAATTATTAATATTCATTACAATTATATTAATGAGTTAAATCCAATTTATTGATTAAATTGATAAATCATTAAGAAATTAAATAGTGATTAGTTAAAAAATTATATATATAATAAGTTAATTATAATAATTTTAATTTATAAAATAGCAACTAATATTATGTCTATTTTTGGACATTTTTATATCTATAAAATAATATACAAATTATAATTACTTAAAATAATTATAAATATAAAATAATTGTTTTTAAAATTTTGAGATATTTGTTAATGAATATAATAAATGTATAATGTCGTTTTATAAATAATTGCAGCACTATCAAAAATATCATCAGTATGCTTAGAATATAATATAATATTATACTCAACCATACATTTAGTAATTATTGAATCTTGCCAAAAATTTATCAGATATATCTTGATATTTATATTTTTTTTTTTACATGTTACAAATTACATTAAAAACGAAATCAATGACAGCAAATTACATATTAAAAATCATCAATTATGATTTTATCTACATTGTTGATTTTATATTTATATTTTATTATTATTTCTTATGTAAAAAAAGTAATATATTTTTGAAAAATTGCCATCAATAATATATATATTAAATATACAAGTAGATAAATATAATTGATAATATTTGATAAAACGAATGTCGATGAAAACATTGTAAATAAAAAATGTCGAAATTAGTGACGATAAAAATATTATTGATGAAAAAATAAAGATTTTCTAACCTATATTTTTATTTTTATGCAACTAAAACTTATCCTAATTAATTTAACCTAATTATAAGCATAAATGATTTATGTATGTATTCAAAGAAACTAGTTTTATAAGATTATCATCCTTTCTAAGTCAACATGTCAATTTAATGTATTAATAATTGATATACCTTGTTGCACACATGATTATCAATTATATGTGTAATCATGACGCTTCAAATGGTTCCCTATAATTTATATCATACATCTGTAATTATAAATTTCTGCTTTAATGATCCAATCATTTCAGAAATTCCAGCATGGATGTGTTTCGAAATGAAAACTTATAATCTGTTATTGGAATTCGAAAAGACAGAAATAATCGTCATATTTGGCATACGAGCCAAATATTTAACAAATTAGAATATTTTTAAGTAGATATTTATTTTAAGAAAAAAAGTATTTTTAAATAGATAAATTCAAACAAAGAATTCAAAATTTAAACAAATATAGATAAATATACATATACATATACATTTATAAATATAAATATATAATATTTTGATTTAAATAATATATAGTAATGTTTTAATATAATAATGTCCAATTAATGAGATAGAATAAGCGAAATGTTTTGTTTCATAATTAAGTTGTATGATTTAAAAATTGTAAATCCCAGTAATTGATGATAAAAACTCTGCAAAAATAATTCCAGTTAATCGAGTATTACCATACATGGCGAATATATCACAACGTGAAAACATATCATTATACATGTGTAATATATTTTCCTTGTACCATTCGAATTCTATGAAATGAATATCTTTTTCATTGGATATGATTCAGATTTTATATGTATGTAGTTATGATGAACTTGATCCCTTCACTTGATAGCCATCCTACGTGCCAAAAACCGTGACAATATTAGCTAATCGATTTTCCATAAATGAACGGTGTCATCGGGCACAGGAAGAAATATGTCCAACCGAATTCGGGATATGGAACACTCCCCTATTTTGCGGATGATATATTTCACGATTTACGTAACCTCCTTTTCTCCACGTATCCTCGAAAATTTTAATATAACCGGCAGTTTTTTCATCGTGATATTCACTTTTACTTAGCTCGGCTTCGTGCGAATCTAAATAATAAATTCCACCGTCGTCGTTTCTCTTTGTAACTTGCGATCTTCTCGACGTTAATGTTAAAGATGACGTACGAAGTGTGCACTTGAAGAAATGAATACGGTTAATCATGGATATTAAATGTACTAATGTATATGTTATTATACATGTAGTGGTGTGAATTTTTAATAAATTATTGACTTGGTGGGAAAATAATTTCGACTTCTCGTGGGCATAAATTTGCTTGAAATGTTAAATGCAAAAAAAATATAACTAACAATATTAAACAATTCTTCTGATTATATCATTTATATTTTTCTGAGTTTTTAATTAGATGGATTTAATTTTTCACAATTTTCTATTTGTGAATGAATCATAATAAATCAATTCATTATGATATATTAAAATATTCAATTTTAAAATTGTTCAATTGTTTATGAATATTGTAAAACTATTATATAATCTATTTTTAAATTTTTTTACTTTTATTTAAATAATGTACTTGAAATTGAAATTCATTTTTATTTGAAATTCGATCACGAAAATTTGTAAATAAAGTAGAAAGTAGGGCAAAATTTTTTGTGTGAATGATTACATTATATTTCTGGAATTCTTGTATTTAATATGACTGAGAATAGAAATATCGTATATTAAATTGTTATTTTCACAGAATCAAAAACTAACATAATACTGATGATACAATAATAATTAATAATAAATCTTAATAATAATAAATCTTTGTTTAAATTAATTTATCTTGGTAACTTCCTTAAGCAATTCTTTAAATAAATAAATAAGTTTTTTAAATTCTAAATATTTTTGCAGGATTTTATAAACCCCATCATATTATTAACATAATATTAACATGATCACTATAAAAATTATGGATTAATTCTTGGAAAAAAAAATCAAATAAATCCTAACATGACAATTTTATTATCATCTGAGTTTCTTATTTAAATGATTTTTTAATATGTACGTTTTATTCACAAATGATTTTTAACTCTTATTTTCATAAATATATCTCAAACAAAATATTATTGCTTCTCCTCTTTTTCATTAATTTTTTTTTATTCGTTTATTAAATAAAATTCTACATTCTATATTATTTTTTCAAGTTATTTACTTTAATTCAACACAAGTTATAAATTGCATTTCATTGCAAACTAATTACACGATTTCTTTCGCACAATTTTTTTTACATATACATATCCACTTGATTTATAAAAAGAAATCTAAACTTACTTAAATTTAAATTCAAATTTCTAAATCCAAATTTAAATATTCAGATATAAACAACAAAAAAGTTTCTTTCAATCTATTTTATCAAATCACACCAAAACAGCTAATTCCGTTCATGAATCGTACATTATTTTTTGCTCAATCTTGACTAGTTCGTTCTAAATTGCTCATTTGCCCGGTTAATAATTCCTTTCAGTGCATTGGCCCTCTGTTCCAGATCTCTTTTGAAAATGGCTGCCGCCTGGAAAGCTTACTTACTCTTAACAAGCATCGATCACGATGCACCATGGATCCTTGTCACTGTCGTTGTTGCGAAATGTTCGACATAGCCCTCGGTGACGTTTCCTCTCATACTACACGCGTAATTATACCGTGTACTAATAAATATCGTGCGCTCGAAAGATAAATAGTGATTTACGAGAATAAACTGCGATCAAACCGTCTGAATGAAAAATCCTCGACTTTGAAACAGTGCTTTTATCGCCCACACGAGAGAAATCAAATTACTAGATGAATCTTTTGGTGCCACTGTGCTCAACGGATGATTGAAAATAAAACCACACGGTGGCGCACGTGTTTCATTATTATCGATGTTTCTATTTTTCTGTAGGCAGTTTTATGTTCAGAGTGATTTTTGTGTCGTGATTATTTAGAATATATATATATTATATATATTATTTAGAATCGAATTATTTATTTTATGATAATATATTTCTTACGAAAATTATATAATGTAAAAATAAATATAATTTTATTATTTGTTTTTGCAAGAATATGGACATGAAGAAATTAAGGTTATATTTTTTTAACTGGATTTATTTTTAGTATATTAATCGATACAAATTGATGTTATTTTCTATAAAGTAATATTTATAATATATAATTATTATTTTGAGAGATTTTAATTTGAATTTTGTAACAAAATTTATAACAAAAAATATGTAAAACAATTTTATTCATACTTTGTCTTTCAAATTAAAATACAATAGAATAACATTATTCGAATATCTTAAACATTTTATTATCCAAATTGTATATTCATAATGATATAAAAACACGAAGAAAGTTTTTATTCTGTGAAATGAATATGAATCTCTCAAGAAAAGAATATCTCTCTAGAAAAATTTATTTTCGATACGATAAATTTATTACGATATTATAGGATATACCATGATATGATACGATGCAATAAAAAATGCAATAAAAGATTGGTCATAGTATGGTTCGAATCCGATAAAAATTATAATAAGGAGAATATTAATATTTTAAATTCTAATACTAAAATAATAAAGAAATAGATTGAAAATAATGAGTGACAATATGTTTCTCCAAAACATTTGAGATAATGGAAAACAACTTTGGTAAAAATTTGGTTAAAATTCTACACAGTTTTGTATTAAAAAAATTGTGCAATTTGGCAGCCAAAGAAGTTCTAATTTTATAATAGAAACTGTTTTTTTATATCATAATCTACTTCTGTTGTAATAAACGTACTTTTCTTAAAATATGGATTATAATTCATCGAAGAAAAATCTTCGAAAATTATTTTATAATTTCTTTAGTAGTTTGGATAAGTTCTATTAAAATAATAATTTTTTTACTGTATAAATACCTTAATTAATAGTTTTTTAAAGATATAAAAATCTGTTAAAAAATACGTGATTCTATTTAAAAAAAAAAAAAACACGAAAATTAATAGCGTCAAATTATTCTTTTAAATCGTGCAATATTTATACGAAATATCTTTTCGTACGACAAATAATTTACGAGTTATTTCAAGTAGTCATGTTGCGAGATTTATCCTGTATATTTGAGAATCGTTTCGGTTGTGTTCCATTTTTTTTTTTTCTGTTGCAGACGGAACAATTCACGGTCTTGTGGCTGCTGTTCGCGATGATAGTCGTGGGTAATATCGCGGTCTTAATTGGCCTCCAATGGGGCAAACGGCGTAAGACTCGGATGGATTTTTTTATCAAACAATTAGCGTTTGCTGGTAAGTTGTTCCGTTTCTGTTTTTCGAGAGTTTTGCACGGATTGTTGCCAGGGAAATCGATAAATTCGATCGGATTCTGAAATATGATTATTATACAAAATAGGCCATTTGAATATGTTGATTATGTCGGAAAAAATATGTCAGATCAAACTTACATGACACAATTCAATGTGAATAATTTTTTTGATGGAAATGTTATTAAATGTTATTAAGACACTGTATGATTTTTACGCTTTTTCATCTATCAGAAAAATATTGATATCAAACTGATGAAAGTTTGATTTGACACATCAACAACAGCCAATATATTGAAATAGTTTGTTATAAAAATATTAAATAAATAATGATACGTTTTACAATTATATCTTATATCTTGAAAATAAATGCTTCATAATTTTTATAAATATTTTAAAAGATTCTTGCTTTTAATGCAGCAAACTTCAGAATGTAAAATTCAAATTAAAATATCTTTTAAACTAATAATGTTTTGTATTTAATATGCAGTATTTAGAATTATGATTATATCTATTGATTATCTATATAATTGATATAATTTTTGATATATCATTAAAATATCGTTAAATATTACAAACTTTATTGAAAAACTATATTATAATTCAACTTTAACCATTTCTGTTTGTAATATTAATAATATCTTTAATATACTAATATATAATAAATGTGAATAAGAAAAAATTTTTTATTCTCTTTTAATTATTTTCATTCGTTATCGATATTATCGATATATATTAATAATCACCATTTTACACAATATTCTCTAGTTTTAATAATACTTTCTATAAAATATATATAATTGTATTATAAACCAATTATTTATTAAAAGGAATATTATATAAAATAAAATATGCTGAAAATATTCTCAAATCGAAGCAATTGATTTTATTTTGTCGATAATTCCTTCGTTACGAGATAGAATTAAAAATCAAAATTAAAAAATCAAATTTCAATTACTCGTTATTCCTTTCCATGCACGGTATATTCTCAAATTGACGCAATTGATTTTAACGATAGCCCCTCGACACGAATAGTATCGAAAAGTCAAAGTTAAAATTCTCAAATTTCGATTACTCGTCACTTTTTCCATTTAATTTTCACAAGAGAATATCCATCAATTTAATTCACTATTTCGTCCTTTTGCCATTCGAACGAAAAATTGATTTTACTTTGTCGATAATCCCTCGACAAACAGAATCGAAAATCAAAATTAAAATATCATATTTCAATTAAATTATTCGTTATCCTTTTCATGTGCACGGTGTATTCTCAAATCGATGCAACTATTATTTTATCGATACCACTGGAATCAAAAAATCAAAAGTTAAAAACTCAAATTTCGTTACTCTTTCCGAATTTAATTTTCAACAGAATACCCATTAATTCAATTCATTATTTCGTCCTTTCGCCACTCGGACGATTAAACGCGCGAAGGACCCGAATGCGATACTCTTAAAAACGTAAACGAGCATAAATCGCGCGTCAAGCGGTGTTGTAAAACATCCAACGGATATTTTCGACCCGTGTGTAACTTTGTCGTCTCCCAGGCTTCTTGAGTGTGACACGTGACTTAGAGCCACGCTTCTCATTTTTCAAACGATCCGCTCGTAACGTTGGAGAAGTATTTCGGTTGCCCAAAAACTGGCGGCCGAATGTAAACACGCCACGAATAAAAATCGAGTTATAGGGAGCCATAAAGATTTACACAAGCGTTTTACGTTTCGGCGTAAACGGTGGATTTGTCGGAGATTTTGTCGAAACGTCGGTGGAAAATGAGTCGCTTTTCAGGAATATTAGACAGGAAAGAGAATGAGCATTGAAAGTTAATGCAGATTAGTGATTTTTACTCTCAATACGTGAGATGTCTCAATTAGTGAGAAGTAATTTTAAAAATAATTTCGTTGTTAAATGAATTCGTGTCGTAAAGGCACGTATGTTTTTTAAAAAAATTTGTAAAAAATTCTTTTTTTCGATTATTGCTCTCCGTGATTATTTTTCGCAAATAAAAATTACGTTCGCAGGTAAAAATTATTTTGACTTTTAACGGAACTTTCAATTTTCAATTTTGCAAGAAATATTCTCAAGAGAATTTTAAATGTATTCCTAAATGCATTCGTATTCTTGTTAATATAAAAACTGATCTCAAAATATTTTAAAATATATCTCAAAATCTGTGTAATTGTTAAATTATTTTACACTCTGAGAATATCAATACATTTTCATTTAAATAAAACTTTCGACAGTTATTTTTCACTTTTGAAGAGTTGAAGTATTGTCAAATATAACTGTTGTCAAAATATCACTTTCAAAAAATAGTTCACGTACATATGTACAAAAAAATATCAGACTTTTATTTCAAATATTTTCAAACGTATTTCAAAACAATTCTCAAGAAAATTTTTGCTCTCGATGGACATGTAAAATAACTCAAAAAAAAGAAAAAAAAAAAAAAAGAAAGAAACTCTTGAAAGTTTTGTTTATAAATACATTATAACTTGAACTCTAATTTATGATAGCAACCTTTGACCCCTTGGTCGAGTCATGCACCTCCTCGAGGCCTACATTCAACAATCTCCTCTTGTGCAACATCTCGACCTTTTCAAATCATTCTTTTCCGCCTTTTTTCCCCCTCGGTATTATGTTTCTTGCGGTATATTCTCTTGAAATGCATCCATTGTGCTTGTTGAAAAGCTCGGCGCCAGTGGGCAAAGGGGAAGACGAAGAAGGCGGTCGTCGTAACTTCAAGGTGGTCTGTTAATTCTCTTCCGAACAGGGACCAGCGTATTTATTGTCTTCTTCGAGGGAAAAAGATGAAATCTCGCGCTAACTCGAAAATTGCGTTATACTTACTCTTTCTGGCGAAAAGTTTTGGGCCAAACGAAAATTTCGTTAAAAATTTTTTAAAACATTTAATGTTAAAATATAAAATATATGGAAATGCGAAATCGATAATAATACATGAAAAATAATATGAGTAATATAAAAAAATAATTTAAATATATTTATTTAACATCACGTGTATTATGAAGGAATATAGTGGAAAACGAAATGACAAAGAAATTTATTAAATTATTTTAGAAATAGTGTTATTTTAACTTTTTTGAAGGTAGAGTATGTACATCTGTAAAACATTTTTCATTTTTTACAAAAATTTCAATTTTACTGACAAAAACCATTACATTAAAAATGATACAAGTATATTTTATATAATATATTATATAATATCATCAAAATCTAATTTTAATAGAATTAAAATAATATAGAAATAACATGAAATAAAATAGAATTCTTTTTTTAAATGTTTGCTATTCGCATTTTAAAAAATGTTGCTATTTAAAAATGTTCGAGGGAAAGAAAAGTTGATAAATTCTTAATTCTGTGTGGGATTTTAAATTTTAGATATTACAGTTGCATTAATTTTTTATTATTATTACTTTTGACATGTATATTCAGACATTGCCATAGTTGGAAAAAATTCTTTTGTGTCGATTTTTTAATAGCAATTTTTTTATTATTAAAATTAAAATATATAAAATATTAATTTTCTTTTAAAAATGATAAAAATTATTCAGAAATCGTAGGAAAAAAAATTGCTATTGCATATTCACAAAAAAATAAATATTATCTTTTATTATATTTCTCTGACAAAATATTTTGACATTTCCACGTCCACCTATAACAATTTTTCTGTAGATTTAACTGCACGTTCTATTACGCTTTTATTTTTTTCACCATTTTTGACGAAAAAAAAAAAAAAAATCTTTTTCTTTGACTGATTTAACTTTAAAAGATAAAATACTCACTCGAACATATAATATTAATTTTTATAAAAATGAAATATATTAATAAATTACAGATGTTCATTTATAAAGAATCGAGATGTAAAAGCGTGACAAAACACACATAATGTGCAAAAATACACATATTCAATTGAAATATTGTGATATTTAATATTCAAAACAAAATTTCTCGGTCAAGTTCGATTTTTTTAATCATATTCATCGAAATATTAATTTGCAAAAAATATCGTACAATCTATATTCAAATTGTATTCTCGTTAGAAATGAATATTAATCCTGAAAATACACACGTTTAATTGAATGAAGAATATTATTGCATTGAAAATGTATTTATCTTATTATTATAGAAATTGTTGTATTACAGAAAATGTTACGTATTTTCATAAAATAATTTTGCGCTCGTATCATAATTCATTCAGAAGCAGTTATTTCGTAACTCGAGAATCGAATAACTTTGTTAATTGTAAATTTAATTTAATTTGATACTTCGCATCGAATTTTAATCGTAATTATTCTTAATTTATTGATAAATTGCGTTTGCTATTAACATGATGAGTTTCGAAATAAATTATCCAATTTTTTTTTTTTTTTATAATAACGCATTTCAATCAATAAAACCATTATGAACTCATTACGAGAAAACTCAAAAAAAATATTTCTAATGGAGAGGGAAAAAAAAATTTTCCATCAGAATATTAATATTATGTTATTAATTAATAAATAATGTAATTTTAAAAGCTTAATTTCAATGAAACAATAATACTTACATATTATAAGTATCATTAGTATAATCAATATAATGTGTCGTGAAATAAATATGAGAAATTCCAATTATACTTGTCGAAATTAGCATAAATCAGCATATATATTACTATTCAAAACTAAAATTATTGTATAGTAACATATATATATTTTTTATTTATCGCAGAAATAAATTCTATCGAAAATATGCATATGCAAAATTTCTCTCGTCAAGATGTGACGTTAAGATGAATGAGAAATGCTTATTAAATGATTAGTAATGCGATACTAGCGCCACGCTGATCATTAACTATTAAATTATTGCATTCAACTGACATTCCGTCTTGCATAATACATTTTTAAAATTTATAATTATCACAATAGTTATAACGATTAATCATTTTATAATTATTTATGCAAAACTTATTTAACAAACAATTTATT